AATGAAAATTAAAATTAAAAAAAATAAAATAAAATAATAAAAAAATTAAAAAAAATTTTTTTATATTTACAAAACAACAACAAAAAATGGAAATGAAAAAATAACCCAAATTAAAAAAAAATTTAATAAATGCAGTCTTAGAGTTTGATTAACTTCTCTTCCAGTAGGTGGAGCTGTGCCCACTGGGCCAAGCTTCTCCTCTCTATAGGCGGGAACCAATCACTGTGAAGCAGATCTTCCTCCCAGACTGGGCGGGTCTCCAATCCTGGGTGTCTAGGGTCTTCTCTTGTGTCTAGACACTTCCCCTCTTTTCCTCAAGCCCGGCCCGCTCACTGGTGATGCTCACCACAATATTGGTTACACGCCAGGTCTGCTCCTCCTGGGAGCTCTGTTTTCATGAACACCTGGGCACGCTCTCCCTGTTTGCCATTCCCTTGGAACCTAAGTTTGTAGAGCTTGGGGCTGAGAACCCCCAGTGAATTTGCTTGCCCTCTGGTAGCCTCGTCCCCAGTAGCTGGTGCAAGGGACCTCAGTTGTCAGCACTGGTGGGAGCGGTAGCCGGGACTTCCTCGACGCGAGTCCCGCGCCACTCCTGATTCCCTCATTCTGGCTATTGCGCTCACGGGAGAGCTGGGAGCGGGGAGGGGCCCTTAAGGTTTCCCCACTGTGTGGAGAGGGAAGGCTAGGGTATTACACATCTGTTGCCGCTGGTTTCAATGAAGTTATCTCCTCTGCTGCGTTTTGGTGACATCAGTTATCTGCCATGGTGGTATCCCATGCAAATGGTGACAGTTCGTTCCCTTTGCTGGGTGACAAATGCAATGGGTGGGTACTGACTGTCTCTCCCAAGCCCTGTTTTAATCCTGTGGCCACTGCCTATGAAGGCTTGGTTGGCATTTACTTCTGTAGATCAGAAGGGCTGACCAGTTGTTTCGGCGGGATCGTTAGTTCTGAGTCATAGCGGTTTGGCTGTGAGAAGCAGTAGAACGAGAGCTTTAATGCAGCCCATCCCGGCTCAGTGTGTGTTCTGAGAGGCCCGGACTGTTCGCCCAGATCCACGTCAGCTCTGCATTGCCTAGTGATCCTGAGCAAACAGCATTTAGACAGTTTACGACTCCCTGTGCCTGCGCAGCTGAAGAGGTCAGAGATTTGATCTCTCCGAGCCCGCCGCCATGTTGGATCCTCTCGGGAGGTCCAAAAGTGAGGATTCTTAAAAGTCATTTTTCATTGAAGGATTATAGGATTTTCAAATGATATAGAAACTATAATAGCATATCAAATACTACTAAGATACCAAACCATACCCAGCTAAAAAAAGTTAAGTCTTGGTCAATTACCTTTGACTTTCCACTCTGTGACATGGGCACTTGGTCTTACCACTTATTTCAATGTGAGAAAGTTTTGCACCATTCACATCATCATTCCTCAGATCACCAGAGATGATGATGACAGATGCAGTACCCCATGTGATTCCTGAACATTTTGAGAGTTCAGGAACAGCTATTTGTACACTTACTCACAACTTGTAATATAATTTCCTGCAAAAATTTTAGTACAAAATTTTTTTTTTTTGTAAGATGCAAGTATTGTGTTTTAGAAAATCAGTAGCATCCTTTAATTGGAAACTGGTGAACTGAGTGTGGTTGTGCACACCTAGAATCCCAGTAGCTCGGGGGGCTGAGATAGGAGGATCATAAGTTCAAAGACAGCTTTAGCAAAAAGTGAGGTGCTAAGCGAGGTGTGCAGTGAGACCCTGTCACTAAATAAAGTACAAACTAGGGCTAAGGATGTGGCTCAGTTGTCAAGTGCCCTTGAGTTCAATCCCTTATACCCCCCCACCAAATAAAAAGATTAATATTTCCTTTTTGACATGTTACCCTAGGAAATGGGAATCTTCATTCCAAAGAAACTATTGTGTATAATTTATTAACGGAGACATGTCAATTTGCTTGACAAAAGGATTCACCATCATAGCACCATAAGGAGTTTGAAGGAGACATCAGAAAACTCAAGGAGAGATGCTATGAGCATCCAGGGAGTCTAAAAGATGATTCCTATGAATCCCAGCAGCATCTATGGATCAAATACAACCAGTAAACACTCTCATGATTAAAATGATTATTATAGTGGAAAAAAACTCTCTCTCTTGGTAAACATCACTGGACAACCCCAAGGGTCTCCCAGGACCCCCCACAAATCACTCAGATTGCCCCAACCTCAGCACTGTAACTGAAAGCCACTCTGATTCACTGGTACTTATGCCAATGCAGTTGTACAATATTTTGAATATCACTCCTTGGTATCATCAAAACTGCTTCTTAAATAAGAATCTTTCTCCCTCTTAAAATTTTAGACACTTTTCCCTTGAATTATTTGACAGTGTTTTCTACCTAAAAAATACTAGCAGCTGAAAGTAAGATCCAGCTCCATGAAATGCATCTCTTTCCTATGATAGGTTTTCATCAAATTATGTATAGTAAAATTTAATTTAGAATTCATACACAGCCTGATTAAAGTTCTAAGCTGTGACACTAAAAGTTTTTAAACTATAGAGATACAGGATTTGCTCATGGATGGTGCAAAACTATATGTTACAAACACAATTAATCACTCATTTTTTTGAAACCATGTATTAATAATCTCTTTACTCATTCCAAAAAGAATAATGATTCAACCATAAAAACTATACAGAGATCATTAATGACAAAGAAAAATTTTGGTTCTATTCCTGGAGGTACTTGCATTTATTAAACTACACAACAGTGCAGCACTGCAATTCCCCTAAAAATTATAGAGAAGACCACAAAAGGTGATCATTTATCCTTCTGCTTAACTTTAAACTGTATGAGTTGGTTACAAATTGCTACTACCCAGTCAGTAAGAATTTGTCACAGGGAAAATAATTAAAATCACCATATAGATTTTTTGAAGGAAAATATCTGCATTTGAAGACAGAAATAAAAGTCTTAATTTTCAAAAGAAAATGATCAGCTATTTGCAAATTTACAATTCACTAAAGCCAGATCACCATGATTTCATTACCTAAAATATATAACAGTGCCATGAAATTTTACTCACCAAACAACAGCTTAGAACATAGCCACACAGTTAAAGGGATTTGACAATAATGGTCAATAACAAAGAACTATGCACAAAACAACTGGTCAAAACAGGAACAGTCAGATCTCTGAAGATGCAGGGAGACACACAGATGCCCAAGAAAGGCTGTTTCCATGAGCACAACAGGCAGCCATACAGATCACATTGCACTTGAATTTCTGTTTTCAAGTTCAAGATATGATGAGGTGCTGGGTAAAGCAGAAGGTCAACCCCAAGGGAATCACAAATGAAAGTCATTGACTTATCTCCACAAACACGATTTCCAATACCTGTAAGAGCCACCATCCCATAGCAGCTGAGCACACTAAATACTCCAGTCTAAAGTTTCTTGCCCCTTCCAGCTTCTCTACCTTGTTAGCCAGCATCTCCTGCAGGGTATGCAACAAGAGGGACTGCTCCAGCTCAAAGCTGTAGATGGTAAGGCCCTGGGGGATATTCTGCAAGGAAAGAGGGAGAGGTGTAAATATGTCACCAGGGTCAAGCATCCAGACCCCATCTACCCTGGTTTCCTCCAGCTGCTTCACAGAAAATGTGAAGATGTTTGCTACCTCTGCACTGTCAGCTGACCATCTCCACAAGTCACTGTCATTACTTCTCTTGTTTCATACATTATTAAACTCAGGGTAACAAGTGCTGTCATGCCCAGATTGTGTATCCTGACACATTCTGCATTGGAGCTTTGTCTGTAGTTCCTGAGGATCCCTACGACAGGGACTATTACTACCACCAGAAAAAAGAAAGCAGAGAAGTCAGGCCACTTTTCCAAAGTCACACAGTCACAAAACTATTCAAGCCAGGATTGAAATTTGGACTATTCCATCTCTCACATATTGGTTTCTAACCCATCAAGCATTCTGCTGATTTAAAAAAGAAAATTTAAGGCTGGTCAAGTGGGAGGCACTAACACCTGTGTAATGTGTCTGTGCAGAGAGAGGGATAGCAGAAAGGAGTCTCCAGGGGCCACCACACCTCCTTCAGAGAAATAGAAAGCAGCAGGCAAGGCTGGGTGGAATCTGCATTGGCCATTGCCACCACTGGGGGACCAAGAACAAGGAGGAAGAGCCAAGGTGCAAGAGCAAAGTCTGAAATGGATGTTACATAAATCATTTAAAGAGCTGCACATAACTATGAACATTTCTGAAGCCTTTTCTCAGTGAAGTATATCAAGATGAATGAACCTACCTTCTTGGATCTTTTGGAATGTCCTATGTGTTTAGAATGCCTGGGTTCTTCTGCAAAAGTCTTACTTTGCCAGCACAGGTTTTGCAAAGGATGTTTTCTGGGATATAGGTTCCCTCAGTTATTCATACTGAAGGGCTCTTGTTCGCTCCTGTGATGAACATCCAGATAACATCTTGATGGTCAGGCTTCTGGATGGCATCAAGCAGAGAGGCCTTGGAAACCTAGCTGGTGGGGGCATTGGGGCCAACTGCACAAATGCATTAAGGGTTCATGGCAGCACTATGGCTAATTGTAGTGCAAAAGATCTAGAGAGTTCCCAGTGTGGATAGCAGCCTCCAGTGTAAGCCTGGAGACCCCAGTGAGGGGTATACCTGTTACCATGTCCTCAAGCATTACATTACTATGAAGGAAAGGAGCCTGGAGACTTTAAGTTCAGCAAATGTGACATCATCATTTGTTGACAACATGTTGATAAAAACTGGCTCCACAGGGTAAGTCAATGGGATCCATGGCTTTTTTTACAACCAACTTAGTGCAGATTATTAAACCATTGTCTCAGCCCCCACCTCAGTGCAAAGCACTTTATGCCTTTGAAGTGAAAAACAAAAAAGTAGCAGATAATGACTGCCTTCTATCTGTTAAGGATGATGTTCTGACTGTGATCCAGAGAATGGATGTAAGCTGTGCTGAACGAATGCTGGAAGACAAAATAGCAATATTTCTGATTTCCTACATTGAGTTTAACTTGGCTGCTAAGCAGCTGACAGAATGGGATAAGCCTCCCATGCCAGTAGTTGATGCTGAAACATGTACTTCAGCAGCAGCCCAGAGCAGCTCTGCCCTAAAGCACTCCAACACCAAGAACAACACCAAAAAGCATCCTTCACTTTCTTCACCATGGCAAACAAGCCCTCTCATGCATCCCAGAACTGTCAGTCCATGGAGATCAGCCCTCCTGTCCTCATCAGATCCAGCAACCTTCAGCTGCCATAAGGATCAGAGAACTGTCTGTGCTTTCCTTCAGTGCCCTTTCTCAGATTCACGTGAGTACTGCCATGTTCATTTTGACCCCACACCCAAGCAGCCCAGTGAAACTGTCCCCTCGTTCACTTTCTTGTTGGATGTCCCCTCTCCAGGTGCCCATGGAACTATGAATCCACCCTTTCCAGTACCTGCTCTCCTGGCTGCCATTGTCTTCACCTCCATCCTGCCAGGTGCTATGCCGCTTCTGCTGGAATGGGTCCCAGTCTCATGGCAGAATCCACTGCTCACAGATGAGAAGATTGAATATTATGAAGATGTTAATTCTCCCCTAATTTATCTACAGATTTGATGCCATCTCATTACAAATTCTAGCAGTCAATTTTGTGGAAATGTGTATATTAATTCTAAATGCATATATTAATTAACATATATTAATTCCCAAATTTAAGCAGGTATACATCATCTCAGAACCTGGGATCACAGTATGGTAAAAATAATTAGAAAGTGATGAATTTTGAGTATTAATTATTCCTGATTTTTACATGATTTACTTAATTTTTAATAATGCTTGGGTTTAACAATGATTGTCAAAATTTATAAAAACTACTCTCATAAATAAATAAATTTGGGCTGACTTTAGCAAATCAATGATACCAGGTATCCAGAGAAGTTTAAGTATCTATGATTTTCTTACCAGCCATTCTTAAGTACTGGAAGAATATTAGCCTAATTAAGAGAAAGAAAGGGAAAATAAAATGAAAGAAACTTCAGCCCCTTCCCCAGAATATATAATTTGATTTCAAGAGTAAGCAGGTTTTTGAAGTTATAAATAGGTCAAATTTTTTTCTACTACCCGGCTGCCTTTCCTTAAAGATTATAGGTAAAGTCTATGGATTTTGATGTGGATAAAACTTCATATAATGTTCTGCAAGCCATTTAAGAAAAAGAGGATCATGAAGTGTTCATGGTTCCTCTAAAACAATATACATTTTTCCCAAAGTCTACTCCTCTGGCCCCAAATTGAAAGTCAATCATTGAAGTTGCAAATTGCAGACAAAGATGATTTATAACTAAGGTAATCTCAAAAGTCTAGAAATTTGTTTACCCATTACATTATAACAAGTCCAGAACCCTTTTATCTATCAGATAAATATTGGTTGATGAATGAGCTCTCAGGAGAGCCCTAGAAATGAGACTATGCTGCATTCTTGTAGGAGTTTTCCTTCCACCTATTATTCTCTAATTTAAAGATGACACTAGCAAAAATTCCTTAAATTTTAATTGATGGAAAGCAGCCTGTGTCTTGTGCATTGTGTAGGTGCCAGTTTCTGAGGTTTCAGATTATATATATGGAAAGAAAAGCCCCCCCTGGCTAACACAGGAGCTGAAACAAAGGGCAGTAAGAGCTATTTTGTTCCATGAATATTTTTTGGACATGGAATATAATGAAGAATGATGATTTGACTGAAGATGGATTTAGAAGGAGTAGTATTTAAATAAGAAAAAATATTTTTCTAATGAAAAATGATGAAGATCTCACTGCTCTGAACCATTGGAGAAATGAATCCTATTTTAAACCAAAGATAATACTGTAAACAGGTCAGATTTTATGTTAATATGAATCTATAATTTTCTTCTTCCATGCACTTGAGTTCAACATATTTATAGAACACATCTGCTGTGTTGTGTAACCTTCTGCCTGAGTCCTGACTCCTCAGGTTTCCATATCTGACATACCTATAACATCTCAAGTTATTGAGGTCAACCTGAGGATCCTAAGTCCATGAAAATAAAACTCTTGTTCACATTCTGCAATTAAAAACAAGTTAAAAGGAAAGGATTCATAACATAGGGTAACTACTTTTTGAAAAGTCAAGAGACTGTGCTATTTGATTTCAATTTTAAACCATCATCTTTATATGTTTAGGGCTTTAATTTATGGAACGACCAGGCAATCTTTATATTTAACATTAAATACCTGAATATTGTTTCTGTGAAACTTCTGAAAAATTGTCATTTTATTATACAGCAATGAGTTGTAAAAAATGATATGCTAAGTAATCCTAGAGTATAATTTAGGGAAACAAAAACAACTGGCTTTAAACTTCTGCCTCAGCCTCCATGTGACAGGACACCGGGCTCAACCACACTATTCTGAACATACAAGACTCCTGTCATCTTTGTCTTCATTCCAGAATCAACAGCAAGTCTCTTGTGGAGCGAGCTCTTCCTAAACATCCTGCCTTTCCTTAAACTCCTAGGGTTCCTTTACTGTCCTCCTGTTCATATGGCTGTTTTACTGACAGACTGAGTCCCAGCATACCTGTGGGCTTCTGCACACAATTATAAGATCTGACACTTGTAGCTGATTCCCTGGGGCCTTCTGAGCACAGTAATGATCTGTTGATTCTCTGTCCACATCCCTATCTTTTCTATCCCACCAAGCACCCAACCATTTGTTGTGTACTGCCCTTTGACACATCCCCATCACGATCCTGAATGTCACTTGGTGCCTCTTTCTGTGTATCAGTGACATGCTTGTGTCTTGGCTTCACATCTCCATCTAAAGGTTCTGAGTTGCCCACACCACAGTCATTCACTCTGATGTCATCTGATGAGAGAGGGAAGAACCAGCAGCTGAGGTCTTCCTCTGGGGTACTGAGACACTACTGAATCCAGATGTGCTCCTGGCAATCTTTCAGAATAGGGAGAATCTGTAATTTGGCTACAGAATCAGTCAGTCCTGGGGAAGAACAAGTCTTAAGTACACTCACAGTGCTCTGAGTGTTGCTCCGAGGCATAACGCTCCTCGGGTCCTCAGCATGATCTGATTGAATAGCACAATTTTGCATCAATTTTTTCCTATCAAACTTCTAAACACAGAGAACTCACTCAACCAAAATGACACAGATAGAAAATGACAGAAGCAGAATTCCAGCTGAGGGAGTGTGCAGGTCCCCATTAAAGAATTATACTAATTATGTTGGCACAAAGCAGGAGGAAGCCTGGCATCTCTGCCTTCCTTTTTTATTTGTCTTCAGACTCCTGCTCAGCTCTGCATAAAGGTGTGTTCTCCTTTAAGGATGTTCTTCTAAAACCTGGTAGCACAAGGTTTATTAGCCCTGGTTTACCTAGACTTGAAGAGGGACAAGATGATGAGATGAGAATAACTAAGGGATTTCCAAGGTTTTCAGGGACATTCAGTGACAGCTTTCACATCGTCTTGTTCCACATTTTTGGAGTGGCCTAGAAGTCTCCAGTCATTGCCATGCACCTCTGAGGAACAGCAGAACCTTGCATCAGAGATCACCTGGTGACAAAGCTGGCCCCACCAAGCAGGTGCACATGTCCAGTTGGAACCAAATTGCCCCCTTCTGGACCTACAGTTCAATAGACAAGAAGCCCCTCCTAGGAACACCAGGGAGATGACGATGACCAGATTAGTTTGCTTGGGACTGCATCCTTGTTCAGCCCTCTCACTCTGTCTCAATCCCTTCTCTATTTAACCCAAAAAGCTCATCAGAGCATCCCATGGACAGGCCTGAGATCCTGTAGCTCACTTGTCTTTCCTGACATGGCCATGGTGAGGAAAGCTCCTTCCTTGTTTTCTTCATTACTTTCCAGTTTGGTTTTGGGATGAGTGGCTGGACCTGATTTGCTGGGTCCCCAGGGCCAGATTTCTGGCCTCAAATTGCAGCAACATTACCAGAATTCTGGCTTCTAGCCACCCCACCTACTGTCATATGGAGGGCTACTTGTGCAAGTGTTCCTGTTGTTCTCAGCACAGCCTGTTTGGCACCCTCCTGACCTTAACTGTATGGCTGCTGGGAGTTTGCAGTCCATCCCACAAACCTCTTTACTCTGTTCTAGTGGCCATGTTATTCTCTGTTCCTTAGAACATCCCACCTGACCTGCAAAGACCAACCTCCCCATTTTCCAGGGCCCTACTTCTAATGCATCAGCCTGTGATACCACAGAGCAAGTCATCTTGCAACGTCTGCATCCTTCAATGATTGCAATAGGAATGTCAGTGCCCTGCGGCAGAAGAGGATGTTGAACAGGAAGGCTCTGGTTGTTTCTGTAGTCCTCTGCTTAACGGCTAGCAGGAGAACAGATTGCAAACAGTTTTTGGGGATATGGCTGCAGAGGTGACTGGTCCCCTTGGACTGGTTTTTTGAGTGGTTCTGACTTCCTAGAGATAACACCTCCTGCTGAGCAGATTGAAGAACTGGAAGCCATCCCAGATCTCACTCCAGAAACTCCCACAGTGTTAGTCCCATGATAACCCAGGTAACTCAGATCTTCACCTAGAGGAGATCAGCACTGATGTTGGACAGCACCCAATTGGTCAGTCTGGACTAATCTGTTTTGTTTTGAATACATTCCACTGCAGAATCTCAGAGCAGGACAGGAAGTTGGAGAAAAACTGCTTCAACCCACATCTTTACAGTGAAGAAAAAGGCTCAAGCGGTGGCATGGCTTGCCCGGGATGGCACAGGGGCCCCCACATTTGGGAAGATTAGCATTCTCTCGTGGGAGATCCTCTGAAGCTAGAGGTTTTTAACACCTCCCAAGTTCCCCCACATTGGTATCTCTGGCCTGAAACTCTCCTGAACTCTGACTCATCCCTCAAATGCCCAGATAAATCAAAATGCAACCTGTCCAAGTGAAAATCTTCATGCCTTCACTGTAGCCTTACTGCAGGTTGCCCCCATACCAAAGGCTGAATCCTGAAACCAAAAGTATCAGGAGGGTCCTGTTGGAGAGGATTAGGTCACATGGATATGTCTTTATGAGTGAGATTAGTGTCCTTATCAAAGAGGCCCAGTAGCTCATTCACCTGCAGGGATGCATGCAGAAGGCCTCTCCATGAACCAGAAAGCACAAGACATGGAAACTGCTGGCACCTTTATCTCAGACTGTTCAGCCTTCAGGATGGTGAGAAATGACTTTATGTCATGTATAAGCTACTTGGTCTATGGTATTTGGTCCAAGAGCCTGCACATATTTAGACAACATCCCTCTAAACCTGCTGCTCCTGTAGCAAGATCATGGTTTCAGTTCTCAGGACCTAACCTGGGAGTCACCTTTCTCACCTCACTTTCAACAGTCCATCAGGACAATTGACTCCATCTCTGGAACATACTATGCCTGCCCCAAGCTTTCCTCCACTGTCCCCACTGGATCTCAGCTCCATCTCTCCAAGCCTCTTACCTCGTGCCCTTCAGGCCTATAACAACTCCTGGCCTCTTCTATTCAAGAGAGCACTCTGAATGATGTCCCCCAGCATGGAGCAGGCCCTATGAGTCCTCTGCTCCAAGCCCTCTGTTGATTATTCATCTTATTCTCAGCGGCAGGAAGGGAAGAGAGCAAGACCAAGAAGTAGATCTGGCTCCAATGCCAAATTTATCCCTGATTTTAGAAAAATGGGTAACTCTGTGACTCACTTCCCCCATATCTGTTCCTGCTTTAAAGTCACTAGATGTGGATATTTTAAAAGAGAGAGGGGTTAGCAGACCAGGGGTCCTCCCAGGCCTCCTTCCCACCCTTAAACTCTGACTCACCATGAGGCCTGTGCTCCTGATTGACAGTATTAGCCCTGCACCCCACACCTCCATGTCCTCCTCCTCCTGCTTGCAGAAGCTCTATTCCTCCTGCAGGCCACTCTGCTGATGCATAGGATCTTAAAGAGTGTGGTGACCACTGCATTTGGAACATTGAAAACATGCAAAGAAAAAAGAAAAGAAAAGGCACAGAAGATGAGAAAGAGAAAAATCTCCTGTAAGGAGTGGGCGATGGCTGTATAGTTACAAGGGATGTGGTTTATTTTCCTGGCAGGCTTGGAAGTGCAGTAACACAGCCAGGCCCTGAACTCACCAACTCCTAACAGCAATATCTGAAAATGTGGAGAACAATTAGTCTCTGTTTACCAAGGATCCCTGATCACTTGCTGGATTCCTCTCCTGTGACATAATCC